TTCCGTGCATCTTGTGCGGGACATGTTGGCTGACGTGTCTCCACTTTTATTGGATGCTGATGATGAGCATGATTTGTCTGAGCGTAATATTAAGCAATGTAAGAGACAAATTTGTGACGGAAATTACACTGCTGTGGTTAGGGTTCTTTCGTCTTCTGGTCTTGCCCCTTACAATGATGCTACTCTTGCAGAATTACAAGCTAAGCACCCTTCCTTTCCGGCTCCTATCTTACCGGATATTCCTGTTGATCAGCACCTTATTGCTACTCCTGCTGTTGTTTTGGATCATATTAGGGGTTTTTTGCGTGATACGTCATGCGGTAGAGACGACTTGCGTGCTCAACACCTTATGGATTGCTTAAGTGGTGCTGCAATTGCTATTTCGGATGAGTTGGTAGTCTCTATTACGCAGGTGGTTAATCTCTTTCTCGATGGGAAATGTCCTGCTGTGTTGGGAGAATACATCGTTAGTGCTCCTCTCACGCCACTTATTAAGCCCGGTGGTGGTATTCGGCCTATTGTTGTTGGTACCGTTTGGAGGCGTCTGGTTTCCAAGGTTGGGGCTGCTTTAATTGGTCCGCGTTTGGGAAACTATTTAGGAGGTCTTCAGTTTGGTGTTGGTGTGTCGGCGGGTGGTGAGACTATTCTTCATGTTGTTAATCATTTGGTTGAGGCTCGTGGTGGTGATGTTGGCCTCTCTATGTTACTGGTGGATTTCCAGAATGTCTTTAATTTGGTTGATCGTACGACTTTACTGCGTGAGGCCCGTCTCCGTTGTCCAGCTCTCTCGCATTGGGTTGAGTTTTGTTACTCTTCTCCGGTCAGACTGTTTTATGGGGTGCATACCTTAAGGTCTTGTGAAGGAGTGCAGCAGGGTGATCCTCTTGGTCCTTTGCCTTTTGCTTTAGTGCTCCATCCGTTGGTATGTCGAATTAGGATTCTTTCGACTTATGTTTGCAGGCTTCGTATTTGGATGACGACACTATTATTGGTGACACTTTGGTGGTAGGAAAGGTTATGGAGTTGATTTTGGTGGAGGGACCTCGTCTCCGCCTCCATGTGAACGTTGAGAAAACGGAAGTTTTCTGGCCCGCGGAGGACCTACGTAGCCGTCTGGTCGGTGTATTTCCTCCAGATATTGCTCGTCCTGTACATGGTGTTAAGTTGCTTGGTGGTCCTGTCAGTGCGGATTCCTCTTTCTGTGGTGACTTGTTTCTCTTAGAGTGTCGAAGACTGTTGTGCTAATGGATACTGTTACTAAGCTTGATGATCCCCAATGTGAGTTGTTACTACTTCATACGTGTACTGGGGTTTCAAAACTCTACTTTTCTATGCGCACTTGTCCTCGTCTTTTTGAAACGGCCTAGATTTCTTTTAATATGGCCCTTCGTGCTTCTTTGGAGCGCATTGTAACTGCTTTGGGGCCAAGTTTTGGTGATTGGCAATGGCCACTTGCCACCTTACCTTTTTCTTATGGTGGATTGTGTGTCTATTTAGCGGATGATGTTCGGCACTATGCTTTCCTTGCATCGCGTTTGTAATCTTCTGGTCTTCAGGCTACGCTTCTTCGCAATTCTGGTATTGTTGGTCCAGGACCGGCCTTCGATGGTGCTCTTAGTCTTTTTAATAGGATTGTGGAGACTGACCTTATGCGTAACCCTAGTGAGATCGCTGCCCCCAAACTCATGAAGAAATTGACAGATATATATTTCACGAAGGTTACTGCACCTGTAGTTACCATTTTATCCTTATCTCCGCGTCAGGTTGCCTTATGGAAGTCCCAGCAGGGGGATCACACTTCTGCCTAGTTGCGAGCGGTCCCAATATTAGGTTTGAGTCAGACTATGAATGGTAAGACTTACCGTTGTGTTCTTTACTATCGGTTCGGTGTTCCCATGTTCTCCGTTTTGACACCGTGTTCTGCTTGCTCAAGGGTTTTTGATGGGGATATATATGGGGATCAGTCAGTGTCTTGTGTTGGGATGGTGGGTATTAAACATCGGCACAACGTTGTTCGTGATACCCTTGTTGATATTTGTTTTCGCTCTGGGATTTCTGCAAGAAAGGAGGTTAACGTTGGGTTGACTAGAGGGAACGACGAGGCTCTTCGACCAGCAGATGTGTTGCTTTATTCCTGGGATAGAGGCCTTGATGTATGTGTTGACTTGACGGGGTCTTCTCCTTTGACACAATCTGGGTTGTTTGACTTCGTTCCTAGCCGTGTTGTGTCGGTTGCGGCTCAGTGGAAGTGAGACAAGTATGGGGCGTGTTGCAGGGCTATTGGCTATGGTTTTCTTCCTTTCTCCTTTTCTTCATTGGGGGAATTAGAGAAGGATGTTGTTGCGTTGCTGAAGCAGGTTCAGGCGTACGCTAGGACTCGGGATATTGGTGCTCGTGTAGCTGCTTACATCTTCAACAGGATCAGGTTCGTTATAGCTAGAGAGGTGGGGACCCAGATTGTATCTCGGCTCCCCACTAACTTATTGTAAATTGTTTGACTTTGTAGGTTTTTTTTTATAAATTGTTAGGAGTGGGGGGCCAGCTTGTATCTCGGCTTCCCACTAATTTATTATAGGTTGTATGACTTTATCTATTTTTGAGATATAATAATAATAATAATAATAATAATAATAATAATAATAATAATAGATTTTTCATGAAATACCACTGAGTTTTTCGAAAATTCACCATATACCACACAAAAATTTTTAATACACCAAATACCACTGAGTTTTTGGTAAATGTCACAACATACCATTTCTGTTAACGGTGTTAGTCATAAAAGTTAATTATGACACGTGGCAGCTTGTAATTGGTGATTATTAATGTTATTTATTTAATTAACTAACTTTAAAAAAAATTAAAGTAAAATTAATAGAAAAAAAGGGGGGGGGGGAAAAAAACCAAGCCAGCCCACAACCACTGGTGGTGGCACTCCCCTCCCTGGCCCTCTTTGAACCACCCCCTCCCTAACCCTAGCTCCCGAAACCTCCCCTAAAACCGCTTCACCTCCACAAAATCGGCTCTCTCCACCCCCGAAACCACCTCTAACACTAACCTCCCTCGCCTCCCTCCACCCCCGAAACCATATACCGAAATCGTCCCCCTCGCCTCCCTCCACCCTCGAAACCACCTGTAACACTTTAGAGAGGATTTTAGGGGTTTCGGCAGCCGAAAATAGGAAGGGGAAGGGTTTCGTGGGATGGTAGGTTGGCCGGAAATAGTCGAAAAGGGATGGGGAAGGGGGTTTTGGGTGAAGTGGCTGGAATCGAAAAGGGGAGGGCAAGGGGGTTTTGGGTGGGTGGCCGGAATCGAAAAGGGGAGGGGAAGGGGGTTTTGGGTGGGTGGCCGGAATCGGAAAGGGGAGGGGAAGGAGGTTTTGGGTGGGTGGCCGGAATCGAAAAGGGGAGGGGAAGGGGGTTTTAGATGTGGTGGCCGAAATTCGAAAAGGATGGGGAAGGGGGTTTTGGGTGGGGTGGCCAGAATCGAAAAGGGGAGGGGAAGGGGGTTTTAGATGTGGTGGCCGAAATTCGAAAAGGATGGGGAAAGGGGTTTTGGGTGGGGTGGCCAGAATCGAAAAGGGGAGGGAAGGGGTGGAAGGCTGCCGGCCTCCGGCGCGCCTGTCGTTTCTGACCTCGGCGGCAAGGGGTTTGGCGGTGAGGTGGCTGGAATGGGCTGGTGGCAAGTTGGTAGCAGGTTTTGTTTTTTTTTTTTTTTTTTTTTATAATAATAATTTTTGTTACTTTTTATTATTTTTTGTTATTTTTTGGTTTTTATTTTTGATAATTAATTAAATAATTATTCTAAAATTAAATAATTTAGAAGGGAACCAATCACAAGCTGTCACTTGGCATTATTAGCCTTAATGACTAACGATGTTAACGTCTGTTAAGTCATTAATGGTATGTTGTGACATTTACCAAAAACTCAGTGGTATTTGTTGTATTAAAAAATATTGTGTGGTATATGGTGAATTTTTGAAAAATTTAGTGGTATTTCATGAAAAATCCGTAATAATAATAATAATAATAATAATAATAATAATAATAATAATAATAATAATAATAATAATTGAACAAGTTGGATTAGTTGGTAATGCATTTAATCCGTCGGGTGTCTCCCTTCCACCAATTTATTGTTCGAATCCTTTGCCCTTCACACTTTTGAGGAGTGGGGGCGCATATTGTATCTTGGCTTCCCACTAATTTGTTGTAGGTTGTATGACTTTGTCTGTTTTTAAGATATATAAACGACGACGACGACGACAACAACGACAACAACAACAACGACAACAACAACAACAACAACAACAACAATAATATTTTTTTATGAAAGCAGCCCAAGGCAAGCATAAGCATTAATAATATCATCAAAGTTATTTGGGCATCATCCCACCCACACTCTTGTAGAATGATCTAAAGAACTAAGGTGAGCCATCACATGGGTCATTAGCCTTCCTAAACACTTGATTGAAACTAATACTATCAAACCTATTTGCAAGAGTTAAAGCTTCTATGATAATGCTTCCTAGATATGACCTCACACATTGTCTTGAATGGAGCATTTTAATCACTTGAAAATTATCACTTTCTACTTCAATCGAATTAGAATAGCATTGCAGAGCCATATTCAAGCCAAAAACAACCTCGTCTTCGCCTCCGTTATACTCGCATCCCATGATTGTCAAATTTGCTGGCAGCTTGCTCGTATCACAACACCTTTATGGTCTTTAATAACCACTCCCAATCCAACCTTCTCACTGATTTTTTGTAGTACATTTTTAGGTTTGAATTTCAAATTTTAAATGTCGGAAAATTTTCAAATTGAAATTTCAAAAGCAAATAAATTGAAACCCACTTGCTCAATCAATCAAAAATGTATTTTAGTGAATGTCTATATTTGGCCCGTATACCCTTATCGACTAGATAAGAGATGAAGGGAGTATTCTTTATCACGAAGATCAATTTGTTTTTTCCCTATTATATATCAAACTTACTAACTTGAATTTTCTCAATCTCATAGGTTAACCACATACTCCGTATCGGTTAGCCGAGGCACACGATATCGTATTAGCGTTTCCATCTCTTGGACTCTTCAGTCTTCGCTCACTCTTGGACTCTTGGTTGTTTATCCGGTGTCATAAAAGCAACAATAGCGCCAATTACCTCACCATTTTCAAATTTGAAACCATTTCACTCAAAAACTCAAACACACACCTTTGAAACTTTGAGTTTGATGGCCTCACTTCCAGTGGACGACAGAGACCTCGACGACGCCGCATTGTGGGCAGTCATCGACTCCGCTGCCGCGGCTTCTTACTCTTCCTCCTCTCCCACCACCACCGCCACCACCGTTTTCCGTAAACCATCATCAACTCTAAATCACACTCCCAATTTCAAATCTCCACCCAAACCTCGATTCATCAACAACCCTAATTCTCCTCCATCTATCTCCACATCTCCCCCAAATTACGCCATTAATGGTTCAATTAGGGTTTCTTCCGATGATGATCATCGCCATTTTCGTCGCCCGCAAAAGATGTCGAGAATTTCCTCCCCTTGTGTTTCTGAGATTAGTGAGAGTAGCCCTGATTTGATACTTGTTAAGCATTTTCCGGTTAATCATCAGTTTTTTTCTTCGCCCAAGCAGCAGATTTCTCCGCAAGTTGAGTATAGAGTTTGCGAAGATAAGGAGAATTTTTCGCATTGTTTGAGTGGTCGTTTTCCTACTGTTTCTCTCTTTAAGGATTATCAAGATGCTGCTATGTCGGTTAGTCTATTTCAACCTTCTTTTTGCTGTCATTGTTGTGGATTTAACTTATGATTCAATTAAGTTATCGGATTTCTTAAGCATATTTGGAATTTGTATAAAATTAGGCGATTGAGCATTTTCCATTTTATCTGCTCTATTTTTAATTATGAATTCTGGAATCAATGAGCTAGTATTTGTTCAGTCATATGGAGTTTCTAGCGTGTTTTTGATGCATTAATATTTTGGTTTATGTTAAAATAAGATGATTATTTATTTTCATTTGAAGGTATGAACAGATTGTCCGAGTATAGTAATTTTAAATTTAGTTTACCGAAAATGTTTCTTTGAACTTGTTGTGTGTATCAACAGATTACAGAGTATGATTCGGGTATTTTTTCGAGCTTATATGGAGTATTTAATAGATGTGCAGACGGACTTTATTTTGTTACATTATTTATGATGATAGAGAATAGTGGTTTGACCCAGCTAATATAAGATATAAACACAACTGAGGTGAGCAAGTAGAATTTTTGGCTATATGAAAAATTGTATGGAAGTGGAATGCATACTTTGAAGTAGATTTAAGTTGTGTGATATTGTGAATCCTTGCAATTTCCTCTCCATTGTGGTTTTCCTGTTTTCAAACTTACTTGAAAGTCAGGATGTCCCCTAAGTTTAAAGGTTGTGTTTGGTTGATGCTTAACTACAATTAAGTGAATCTATTTAGTTTGCTACAGCTAATAAGGGCTGCAAGATCTCATTAGAAGTACAAGGATAATTATGTTGAGGCAATGAGACGATTCTGGAGGATTATATATGCCGTAATTGGTGATATTAGTAGCTTTGTTAATGTTGTTAATAACCTAAAGCAAAAAGATGATGATTTTTGGGTTGGTGGCACTATTTCGGGTAGAGTGGAGTAAGAAATACTTGTAGATACAAGTAGCTGATAAATTCTTGTTTGCCGTCTTTGTATGGAGATGTGATTAGACAACTACTATTGTCTTTCAATTTTTCCCATTATAGTTGTGATATTTTGTTCTTTTTTGAATTCCAGTATCTTGTACTTTCCTTGATCACTCCGTATTTTTTTTTTGGAATGGGCAAGACTTGTAATTTCAGAAATCTATAATGGGATAGTACATATTTCTGTTGGGCCAGAGCATCCACCTTGTCGGGTCACACGCACACTCCACTTCACATTAGTATGATATTTTCCGCTTTGGGCCTAGCCCACACGGATTTGTTTTTAGGCACCATGCCAAACAGCCTCATACTAATTGGAGTGTGCACTCACTTATAAGGAAACCTTTTCTTCCTTATTTCTTTCATGTGGGACTTGGGATGAACAGCCCCTACAAACCTCCCCTCAGATCAAGGACTACATAAATCATGGCTTTCCCTCCAATGAAACCATCTTGCATTGCTATCATCACCACGTGACTTGCTGCTTGAATTAGAGGACTTTCGACACAAGGTTGCAACATCGTAGCACAGATCTCCCATTTTGTACCACCGCTACCACCATGGAACACGCCACCTTAAGTCGACTTTTGATATGAGGCACCACTGATATTCAATCGCGAGGTCACACATTTGAGGGAGCGTCCTACACACATAAAGCCTTCATCCAGATTGGCTTTGATACTAGTTGTTGGGGACGAAGCAACTGATGAAATTATCAGGAAGAATTATAAAATACGAAACAACAAAAACAACACATAAAATTTTTACGTGGAAAACCCCTCCTCAAGAATAAGGGGAAGAATAATAAAATATGGAACAACCATTGGCTCTTGCTAGTAAATTTCCTCTTCTTCTTACCCTTGCATAACCTTAGGGCACATATATATATACAAACAATGTAAAGCTTCTCCAACAAACTTTTAACACTTGCATGCATAATTTCATGTAACTCAAATTCAACACCTATTGTCCGACACAAGTAGACTAAGCATATGACACTAATATAATAGCTTCACTAATTAGGACTTTCAAGTCCAACCGACATCTTCTTTTGTTTTTTTATTTTCTTTTCTTTTACTACATAATTATTATTACCAATAATAATAAGATTATTTAATTAATTGGGATTTGAATAGATTAACCCAACTAATAATAACCTTGCTCTAATACCAATTTGTTGGAGTTGTTCATCCTAAGTCCGACATGGAAGAAATAAGAAAGAAAGGACTTTCTTATAAGTGAGTGCACACTCTAATTAGTATGAGGCCTTTTGGAAAGTGTCGAAAAACAAATTTGTGCGAGCTAGCTAGGCCCCAAGCAGACAATATCATACTAATGTGGAGTGGAGTGTGCGGCCCGACAAGGTGTGGATGTCCAGCCCAACAACTGGTATTAGAGCTGTGGTTTGAGACAGATCCGAAGGTCTTGTTAGAAAAGTTACACAACATTTACACTTCAAAGTTGCCAACCAATCGATTGTGTTTACGGTGGGAGTTGTACCCATTGAAAATGGAGAACGATATAAATTTGCAAAACCACATCAACAATTTTACTCAGTTAGTGTGCTAGTTGCAGAATGCCGATGAGAAAATTCTAGATCAAGAGCAAGCCCTCTTGTTATTGGCTTCACTACCGATGTCTTACATGCCGATTGTGCAAACATTGCTTGTGGGAATGGGAGAAGATTACTCTAGATGAATCAATAACTATTGTGAGGGAGAATGAACGTATGATGACACAAATTGATGGAGGTGTCTCATACTACCATGATTAAGCACTGGTTGTGGAAGGTCATCAGAGAGGGAGGAAACAAATCAAGGAGAGATGACCAACGGAGTAGATCGAAATCTCAGTCGAGAGGTTATAGCATTGTTGAGTGCTAATATTGTCACGAGAAGGGTCATCTATAATTTAATTGCCCGAAGATTTGAAGACCTTGAGGCATTTGCAAGGAAAGATGGGAAAAATGAAGGTGAAGGTAGTTCAGATCATTCTAAATGTGAGGTTTGTACCTAGTGCACGGCACTGCACATGCCAGCTTGATATCATTGGGAGAGTTGACAAAGCACGGGCATAGGTATGTTGGTAGTGGAAGGTGGTGTAAAGTGTGCCGAGGCAACCGCTTGGTATTGCAAGGAAAGAAGGCCAATAACAATATTTGTTATTTGTGGGCCGAGTAATTCAAGACCGCAAAATTAAGGTTGTGAAAAATTTCGAGATGAGGGTCCGATTTTATGATGTAGTAGAAGTGTTTGGTGATTTGGGTCGAGGGAGAAATTTGTTGGGTTAATCTTACCAAATCCCAATTAATTAAGTAGTTTTATTATTATACTAATAATAATTATGTAGTAAAAGAAAAGAAAAAAAAATGAAAGAAGATGTAAGTAAGTGAAGCTATTGTGTTGGTGTCATATGCTTAGTCTACTTGTGTTAGACTATAGGTGTTCACTTTGGGGTACATGTAATCATGCATGTAGGTTTTAAAGCTTGTTGGAGAAGCTTGACATTGTTTGCATATATATGTGCCGTGAGTTTATGCTAGGGTAAGAAAAAGAGGAAACTTACTAGCAAGAAGTTAGTAGCAAAACTCCTCAAAAAAGGAGAGCTAAAGCTGGAGGTAGTGACGGAGAGACAAACACAATTTTAGTGTGAGGGGTATTTTTAGGATTAGTATAAGTACCATGTTGAGGGTACTAGTGTAGACTCCTAAAAATACATTGTATCTGATATTGTAATTGTGGTGGTGGTCATTGTACTCCCAAAATTATAGCCAGTAAAGTTGTTTACATCCCTAGAGACTGGACCGTGGTTCTTCCCCTTATTATTGAGGGGTTTTCCACATAAAAATCTTGTGTGTTGTTTCTGTTTTTCCGTATTTTATTATTCTTCCTGATATTATGTTTATTTGTTGCTTTGTCCCCAACAACTTCCTCTATTTTATTTACTTGCTACACACCTCTTAGACATGCAGTTTTAAGAGGTGATTAATGAAGGTAAACAAAAGATTTTATCAAAATAATTTTTACACAAGGATTAGAGAAGGGTTAGGTATCATGTCTAAAATATTTTGAATAATTTGTCCGTTTACATTATATAATCTTGATTTCAAAGTGTGTGCCACAAGATTGTGTTGCATGCAAATAAAAATAGAGGAAGTAATACTTTTGTGATCTAATCGGCCACCTTAAGTAATCTTAGAGAAATATTTGGCTCTTGAGAATCATCTTTTTGAATAGATTTTGTAATACTGATTTGGTTGAGTGACGGAGAACTTTGTTTTGGTTTATTAATTAATTCAGCATGATTATCGTAGTGACAAGGGCATGTTGTGGAGTTGTAACTTATTTTAGACCTGTGATAAGTTTAGACCAGAGAACTTTTGTGTATCATCTTATAGCACCAAACTGGGGTGTACAGGTGAATGTTGCATTAAATCATTTCTATTGATGTGCGCGTTATGGTCTGTCTGTATCCTATCAGAATCTAATTGTAGCTCCTGACTATCCTATTACTCTTAATTTTATTAAAGAAATCAGTTTATACGAACTTCAATTCTACCAAAGCTAATTAAATATTGCATACACAAAAGGAGCATCTGGGTGTTGAGCATGTCATACTTTTCAACTTTTGAGTATTGGTTTTTGTTCATTTACGTCATGTATTATAAGAAAATTTCCTTGAATAGCATGGAACACGTTACATGCTATTTTCTAACTGTTATCGCTCTTGCCCTTAAACTTTTGATTAAGGCGGTGCTCTTATAATGTAGATGGAAGGTTATATGCTATTTTTATCCAGTCCTCTTTATGCTTCTGATCTATTTTTGGTAATGACCAGGTTCTTGAGAAGTCAGATTATACTATTATATCCGGAAGTCCTTTTATCAAAAAGTCAGGTAATGGATTAAAAAGCAATTTTCTACAACCTTTTTATCATCCCATTTGAGTAGTTTGTGAGAGTATGAACCTCTGATGTGATGTGTAGGTTGGAGGAAGATAGCATTTTACTTTAATGTCTCATTCGAAATAAGAGATAAGAACATTGAATTTGACGAGAATCGTAATGTTCAGCGTGCTGAATTTGTAGTTCGTGCTTATATGCAGTAAGTAAACTCAAATTTTATGTGTTTGAGGAGCTGCAGTGACTCTTTAACATATATATTAATAGTCCATCTTACAACCAATTTTGATATGTACAAGGGGAGGTAGGTTTTCTGATGGGTGGGGTTCCTGTGAACGGCGGGAGAAGAAATTTATGAAACCCAATAATGACATACCTAGTACTGCAGAAACCAGAGCAAAAAATAAGGCTTGCCAGGTATGCCACCAGCTCTCTTACTTTTTCTTTTTGTAATTCCAACAAATTATGACCTGTCTATAGTGTAGTCGTCTTGTGTATTGAGATTGTCATCAGTTGCCTTCCCTTTTCTCATTTCCCCCTCTTGTTCCTACTTTGTGGTTGAATGGGTGTGTAGACGATCTATTACATAGTTGCCTTGCTTTTTCACCATATTTCACGGCTTTTAGACAGCCTCACTGGATGCATCTTGCTTACTGTATTCTCTTAGCGCTTTCATACCCTGTAATTTTTGTAGCAACATGGATTTACTTCTGTATGTCAACAGTGTCACTTCCACTTCCCTGGGTCATACCCCTTGTGGCTGCTTATGCTTCACAGATAGATGGATATACCTTAAGGTGGTTGAGCCCCCTATGGTTTATCCATAAAGTATGTGCTGCTCTGTGGCTGTTGAATTTTTATAAAAGGTGTTTTCCTCTTTTAAAGTAATGATGCTGCCTTGATCCTTGCATGATATGGACCTGTAGTATTTTGAGTGTTAGTCTTCAAGCAGTCAGGGACATCAACTGAACACTGCTGTTGGTTGAGTAGCGTACTTTTCTGGATGTCCAGTCCTTGCAATTAGAGTTCAGGTACAGGCTGTCGACAACTTAGTTTCTGATACCAATATTAAAGATGGTGACTAAAGCTTTCACACAATAATACTACTTCTAAGATAGGTTCTACTCCACTTTGAACCCTCTTTGGCTGAAGCCATGGAATAGGGATTTCAGTAATTTCACTAATTCAATACTTAAGGATTTCTCTGTCCTCCACCAGAGGTTCCATGTTTAATACTTCCTCCGTTGTTATTTTATGTAAGTTGACACGTTTCTTATATCATGTCTGCTAACTCTTAACTTTAACGATACCAACATGTAAAAATTATAAAAAGTTGACATTAATATTATATACATTAAGACAATTCAAATAAGATCTCCATGACTATGTTTTATCACAAAAGATAGTCAAAGTAAAGTTTGTGAATTGTATCATAAGTGAAAAGATATCAACTAAAACAAAATTGAGGAAGTATATATTTTGCAACATAAAACCCACATGATTGTGATATACAAGGGAGAGGCAGTTAAGACAGACAGAATTGGGATAGAAAAATGTTACTTTACAACCTAGCTTGCTAATATGGACCCTATCACCTATCCATTCTCTCCTGCCATGGCTGCCAACTATTATGACCAACTTGCCCTCGTTTTCACCCCAACATCATCGCTAGCACTAGTGTCCTCCCCCTTCCCCCTGAAGTTTTTTCTAGCTGCACACAAGCTCCACCATGACCTATTGTCTCACACCTTCACCCAACCTGAACTCCTGAAGAGTCGAAATTCCCCAACCCACTAGCTTTATGAAAACCGTTTTAAGCTTCCTCTCTGTTTCACGGCTTGAGTGATGAATTAAATTAGAACCTGTAGTTGTTGACCTTAGGTTTAAGACTTAAAATAGCATTGGTAAAATCCAAGCACCAAGGGCTCAACTTTGGTGCCTTTGGTTTGGATAAAGTGCCTGTATCTTCAATCAATCGTTGTCTTATGAGATGAGATTATCTTATCTCCTTATTGATAACCAACATCTTGCTCTCTCTGCTAGTTACTTTTTTAGTAAGTAGTAACTATGATTTTTCAAACTATGTCATTGGAGCAAATAAACCAATCCTGCTTACTTTTGTCAACTATTTATTTACCATACAAGATATTCTAAAATGATTAGTTTTGGTAATAAAAAGGTGAAATATATAACTTTCAAAGTACATCATTTTATCCGGTAACATATTTGTTTGTTTTTTTTTTTTTTTTTTTATCTTTTGCAACTTTTTAAAAAAAAATCACGGATCTGCAGAAGGTAAAAACTAGTAAAGGAGTATTAATTGAATTAGTGGAGGAGATAGGGTTGGAGCATATAGCTAGATATATGTGTGGAGTTTGAACCACATTACTGCTTTTGGAAATCTTTTGGCTCTAAATGAATGAACTACATTGAGCCATTCTCTTAAAATGTATATGCTCAAAGGTACAAAAATATTTTTTGATTACTGTCTCTGCGTAGAATTTAGACTAATGGCCATGAATGCTGGATATGCTTCAGCCCAAGTAATATTTGGTCTATACTTCTTTGGTTTCTTTTGACTTCAATTTGCGATTTATATATGAGAAAAATCTTAGTCAAGTGAGGTTTTGATAGATTTGTCTTGACTACTATTTTCAAAATACCAAAATTTTATAATATTGGTTATTGATAACCGAAGAAATTAATATAAATTATGCGTTAGCAAACGTGTTTAAAAGAAATGTGTCAACTAATATGAAATGGAGGAAGTATATGTTAACAATGCTTGTGGAGGATATCCCATCTTAATAATTGACGTGTGTTTATCTTATAGTAGTCAACAAAGACAATGTATGCTAAAGGTTTTTTAGCTTATGCTTCATGTGAACATATGATATACAGGCAGTCAAGCACTACTAAATTTCTCTGTTGACATTTTTGTCTATTAAATAGATATAACGTTCTATATTCCTTGGAGAAAAGATAAAAAGTAGGGTTGGATACGTGGATGGGATGAGAGATTTGTATATGGTCACTTGTCCCCTATAAATGAAATGCTCTGTTGTGCTGAGTTCTGTATCTAAAAACATGCTTTAATAACATGCTTACCAAAGAGCTAATTTACTTGTTATGTTATTGCAGGACCTGATAGGAATTGGGCAATATCGGCCTGGTAAGCCATAGCCGTTCTCCCAACCTATTGTGGGGGCATTCCTTAACTAAATATGTTGCCCACCCCGGAACTGAAACAGTATTAAAGAAACTCTGTTGTACTGATTCAAGTGTAAAAGAAACAACCCAAACGAAAGTTCATCAGTAAGAAGCATATGGTGCTTCTTGCCTTTTGTTATAGTACAGTGGGCTTATATGTTGAACAAAACATTCCAGGACAATGGCTTCTTGCGGGTAGTCATCATAAATACAGTATAAGATAGTCCCTTGGAAAGCAGGCATAAGAGTTGCTCTGTATCAACTATTCAGAGTAATTTTGTACAAGTCTCTTGGCTTTGAAGTAGTTTTCGAGCTGGTAGATGAGCAGGCTTATTTTTATTTTTTTTTATACATAAAGTGTAATTCCATGTAAAAATGGTGTTCATATAAATTACTATGCAAGTGTTACTTATTTGCTTCCTCAGCATACCCTCTTGTTATTATTGTTTTTATGTCCATACATTTATTTACCTTTATTCCTTGTCCAAAAAAAATAAAAATAAAAAATAAAATAAAATAAAATAAAAACCAAAGAGCTCATGTAATATAAAGTCTTAAGATAAAATACTGACAAATTTGCTGTTATATTCAATTATTGTTATTAGACTTTCAAAAAAACTCTTTTGAGCTAATTTATCATATCATATCACCTCCCTTTAGATTTTGGAATTTGGACAATCCCACCAGCTAACATCTCTTTTTTTTTGTCGTGGAAAACATGGAGTCCTCTTTAACATTTTCCTCCACTTGCTTCTAACAATTGACTAAGAGTATCAATAATACAAACTCATTATTGATAGACAAAAGTACAAAACGGTCTCTCTGTAACCTGTGTGGCATTTGCAAATTGGAAATAGTTAGGAGTAGCATTCTATTAATTGTTTGCATTTGATATAGGTATGTGTTTAAGTGTTCGACTTGATATTACTTTGAGATAATCCATGATTTTGGCCTAAAACAAAGTATTTACTTTGAGAAATTGTGACGATTACATAACTTTGTTTATTCCACAATTCGTGGAATGTACACTGAAATATGTATAAAATACTGTATTAATTACATATTCTGATATTCAGCATAATAAAGAAAGTAAAAGAAGTTACAGTAACATAATATCCCCTCAAAAAATTAAACAAATGATACATGTAAACCATAACAAGAACCTTTGCAATTTCACAAGGTTTATAAGAAGCACAGAACTAAAAAAAATGAGTATATAACAAATTACACTTTTACAATTCTTCACAAATGTACAAAAAGAAAGCAGGAGAGGAAGAGTTCATTCTTAAGAGTACGTTGTTGAATGTTGATGAATCATGCAGTTGATTGCTCAAGCTTTTTTAGGTGGTTCCTCAGTTTGTGGTTGCTCCACCTTGGGAGGGGCTGCTGTCTCAGCTGTAGCCGCATCGGCTGCAACTGTGGCTGCAACTTCGCTAGGCTTTTCCTCTGAGACAGTGGCTATCTCCTTCTCTGCCTCGCTTGTTTCTTTCGCGGTGGTTACTTCTTCTGCTACTGCTGCTGTTGGGGCTTCTATCTCCCTGGGTTTCTCTTCTGTGACAATGAATGTTGAGACCTTTTCGAACACGAATTTTACCGGACCTGGAGCCAGTGCTGGCCCGAACTTTGAACATGCTTCAAGGGCTACTTTGGAACCTGGGAAATCTGCATATACAATAACCAATCGATTAATATAGTGCAACCAATTAACCAAGCAATGAAACCAACCCAACTTCAGAAGAAAAGAGCCACTAAAAGACAATAATGTAAATGAGATTTGACCCTCGAACAAATGTTTTGTAGTATTAATTTAATTTACACTGTAAGAAACATGTGAAGAAATGACTTACCAATTTTATCAAGCTTTTCAAGGAAGCTCTGAACATCAGCCGAATGTTTCTTAAGGCCAGCTTCTTTAGGATCTTTTACCAAAGTCTAAAAAAAATCCATAAAATATTATTGGAGTAAAATGATTGCAAATAATATCACTTAAATTCCAAATTAAGTCAATGGGAAATTCTTTTGATCATAATTTTGTTTCCTTACACACTGACCTTGATTTCAGCTGATGAAGCTTCATAAATCTCTAGTACTTTGGGCTGCAGCTCAGCTTTCTTCTCCTCAAATTCCTTGGATAATTCCTCCTATACACACGTTAAATAATTTGTGATCTCCCAACAATAGATAATCAGACGGTAACTTCATAGTCTTTTAACCATATCGTTTACTTTTTTAAGTGTTGATAGAGGCAAGATGAACAATGATATATACGACATTTATTTTTAAGGATCGTCTTAGGTATCACCCTTTTACGCCCAGTACTTGAACTAATTAAATAATCTTAATTGGGTGAGGTCCCAACTATTTCCACTTGATATAGTTGGCATCCACTATTATCTTTAGTACTCGTAGTTCAGATCAACATTAACAATACACACAATTTGATTGAATTAAGAAATTCTAAACGGTTATTGTTAGTTATGATAATGCTTTTATCGACATGAATAAAAGAATTATCATAACTAACAATAACCATTTAGAATTTCTTATTTCATAATAACCATTTTTTTTCTCTTTCTAAACTCTTGTTGAAATAGGCATGCATGCATAAATTAAATTTGGTACCTTAGAGTCATCAAAGGACTTGCATGCTTCAACAGCAGCAGCTTTTTTGGCCACATCTACTCCAAAAACCTTCTTAATCTGTGGAAGAACCTTTGTTTTCCAGTATCCCATGTTTATCCGTTAATATAACCTACAAGTCAAATCAACATAATTACGATTAATACGCAACAATGAAATTCTCAAAGTGAACTTTGTTACTTCTAGTGTCAATAGATGATAACATTGGTAGTGTAATTTAGACGGAACTTTCTTATTCTAACATGAGTACACGGAAATTAATATACCACCTCTATATATATATACACTTTGTATATGACATAATTATTTTTCATGTTTAACTTTAATTCTTAAATATCCTATAAGTATTAGACAAAAGTTATATTTGTATAAATTTTGAAATGGAAAAATAAACGTTTTTTCGTATAATATTTATCAATATATTTTGAAAAAAATCAAAGTTTTTAAATCAAATTACTAACTTGTAAAGCTTGTCTTTAACTATAGTATAAAGTAGCTTATTTCTTCTTATTGATCCAACTTTAAATCTTAATAAACATATGAAATACTCCGTAAAAACATGATGTAACTTTGATTCTTCAACTTATATTTTAAAACTATAAAAGTTATCTTGTATGATTATTGGAATGAAAATAAAAAAAAATGGAACGAATATAACTTTTCTATCATTATATTTTTAAAAAGAAACCAAAGCTTATATGTTGACCGATTTTCTAAAGCATGTGCCCGTAGTATATAAAGTTAGCTTATTTTCGATCTCCCTAAATTTCTTACGAAACGTATGAAGTATATAGCTTATTTTCTAAAGCATGATATAACTTAGTAGCTTATCTTCCTAATCAAACCTTCTGTTAGGAAACTTATGATTTATGAAGTAGCTTATTTTCTAAAATATGATGTAACATAGTAGCTTATCTTATCAAATTATCTTATTTGGTCGTTTTTTGGGAGTATGTGTGAGCAACATGCTAAGTTGAATCCCAAGTTTCTAACAGCAATTAACATATTTTGAAACTATTAGAACTCCATTAATAAAGCACGAAATACTCCTTTAATTTTTTACCTTTCATAATTTCGAAGAGATTCCTATGAACCCCTTAGCTAACAAAATTCCCCTCGTGATGAACAAATAATTTCCAATCGGACAAAACAAACATGTGAACAATTGTAAGTAATATAACTAAAAAGCATGTTATTTATTAATAAACAACTTTTTATATACACACGGAGTAACACATTTACCATGATGAATTAAACCCGACTTTATACACTAAGACACTATCAAATTTGGCTTACATCTTTGTTTGATTCGCGGCTTTCTATACACCATAAATAATTAAAGGAAACATGAAGAACAAAACCTTAAAAAATATAAAGATAATATAAAAGTTTTACCTGAACCAAATGATGGATGGAGAAAAAAGAGAAGGAGCTGAGTAAACAAACACAACACTGAAAACTTAAAAGATGTAACACAAATACAACACTCTTTAATTTATCAACCTTCCTTTGGAATATGATATCCAATCAAAATCAGAGACTTGAATGCACGACAGCAATTGGAATTAGCCAACTGCCACTAGAAATATTAAGAAACTATTGTTTTTGGAACTAACAATAATACTAAGCTATCAAACATATAGACAATGAAACACATAAATAACCCTTATTTTGTGATGTAATTACGAAAATAGCACAATTATGATAAAAATCAATGACAACTGGACAGTTAGCCAACTCAACAAGCCAGCCTGCCATGTCAATGTCTATGGCTGCCCTTGCTTGTCACCTTGTACAAATGACATGTGATATTAATAATCACTACTGATTGCATGGCATATTATATAACTATCATTAATTCAAAAATAAATAAAAAATTACGTACATCGAGTGTAAATTTAACAAATTAAGGGTAACTTTGAATTTAATTATTTTGAGTAGCTTATATCCTAGTCTAAGGTAATTTTTGACCTGATATAATTTTAATGTAAATAGATTATAAAATAAGTTTTTTTAAAGAACATGATTACCTTTACGGAATGAGATATAATTGTACACAACAACTTTTTTAATTGAGAGGATTTTAAAAGGAGTAGATTATATTTATATCGCAATAACTTTTATTCATTTAATGTATCGTAAATGTACAACTAATGTACAATGATTATTAGGAAAGTTGATGCTACCAGTTTTAACGGTGGACATTCTTCTTTCAAGGATTCCTAGTATTATTTAACTCATAGTGATTCGTCCAACATTCGAGGTCTTTCATAAAATAGCTCATAACTTAATATGACTAGATAAACCGGTTAAATTTGCTACATAGTGAATATTTTAGTGGTCTATTTTACTGAATGATATTGTTTTATGGTGAAGTGGACATGGTCTAAAGAAAAGGGTGAGTGTTTAGATTGGAAGAAGATTAAATTTTTAATTACAGCTAACGAAAACAAAACACATGGCCCTATTTGACCGGTTAAAAATATGTTAGAGACCGTTATAAGATCTCTCTAAAGTTAGGATCAGCCTTAATTAATTGATAATTGAGACCATTTTAAGAAGATTTAAGAAGATCGGCCATATAATCGGAGCTGTTGACGTCAAATTTTTCCTAATTATTATACACAAAATATATTCGTTGCTAGCATTTCGGTTTTTTCATAGTTTTAGGGGAGTGCTATACATGTAGGACATCAGCTTTCTTATCTAAAGAAGCATGTACTTTAAATTAAGATTATAGATTAACAGTTTCTGCTGGCTCTATGATTAGTGCCAACTTAGAAGATTTTTGGGATATACTGATATTCGATTATGCGTCATGACTTATATCACCTATGGCTATTATTTGTATTACTTGAATTTTGACGCCAACCACGTTCATCAGACGATCACATACTCTAAGCAGGGGCATTATTGTATTTTTCCTATAAAAAATTACAAGTGTCCATATCGAGACATCTATCTATACTAGGTACTATAGACTAAAGTTAATCACCAGAATTATCTTAAAGTACACGTGTTGCATTCACACAAAAAAATTTCTGCCAAATTTTTTTTCTTTTTTTTTTCCTTAAAAAATAACGTGATGATAAAAAGTTACAATAATTAATATATATATATATATATATATATATATATATATATATATATATATATATATATATATATTAAATTATATATCTAACAAAAGTGTTTTAAGGGTAGACATTAAATGAATTCAAATTTTTTTTTAAAAAAAGAAAAAATTATAAAACTCATTCCATTTAAATTAACTTTATTTTAATTGACTTTAGTTTTATGATTTACAAGTCTTATTATTATGTAACCGTGTATGGCACTTCAAATTATTTGCAACGATTTAATATACAGTGTAAGTTTAAAATGTCTAATCGATGCAAATAATTTAAAATGGACATAATAATATAACATGACTCAACTTACAAAATTGACCCAATCCGACCTTATCAGACCCGATTCGAACATCCGAATTGACACCTCTAGGTAGAAGTATGTGGATGCAAAGAGAGAGAAAACGGTAAGGCATGAAGAGGGATAAATTGGAGCATCTTAGTCCAATACTCAATCTAAGACTCAGTCCAATGCAAGCCTTGGATCAGCTCATCATGCAACCACTACAACTACTCTTGATCATCAAAGAAAGATCAATTTGATGATCATCCTACTCAGCATGATCAAGCAACTATACAACACTCTAGAAGAGAGGTTGTAAGATAGAGCACTTTATTTCTAGGAGTCAATTATCTATTCTGTTAGAAAGATACAAACATACATAGTTTATAATGATATAAACTAGCTAATTTACATAACAACCCGTCTTGTGTGATACAAACATATATAGGTTGTAATGATATAAACTAGCTAATTTACGTAACAGCCCGTCTTGTGTGTGGCTGGCACACCGTGTGACCAACACTGACCAAGTAACCCTATAACACTAGCGAAGTAACCCCTTTAACATTGACCAAGTAACCCCTATTAAACTAACGAAGTAACCCCTATGATGACTGACCACACATAAGAATTTGTGTTTGCGTAAATATAAGGTTTAATGCTTGTTATAATTAGTTGGAATTTTACAAAAAAGTTTCCCTCTCAAAGTTTTAAGAAATCTGTTAGATCAATATAATGGTTCTTTATTTTTTCCTCTTCTTCTACAGTTGATCAAATTTTGCAGTTCATTAGCATCTAAAAGGAAAGAAAAATATGTCCCACAAATTACAAGACTAAATAGGATCACATGGTCATATTACAGAACTTACATGAATTAATGTCTTATACAATGTTTATACCCCTGCATAAGCTGAAAGTCTCTTGTAATCATCAACACTTGATAAATTAGCAATATAAACATCAATTGCAAACAAATTAAAATCAGTACATACATATCTCAAGTTTTGAAATTAAAGAAAATTGAGAATTGAATTTGGCTATATGTGACATTACCAGCATCTCAGATTTCAGTAATTGACGCCAAAATATGGTGGTCACGGAACCCAAAATGATTCATTATTGTTTCTTTTAGTAATCATCAAATCAATTTCAAAATCTCAACTATTTGTTCTAAATACTAAGATTATGAAAACAAAATTATAATTGAATGTCAGTGTGTCATAAGTTCAAGTTTACTTGCTACAGTCAACTGCAGACCCGAACAAGCAGGGATACCTTATGTAGTCCATACAACTAAAACCTTGTAATTTGTAAAATAATAATGGAGAATGATTGCTTAGCCTGTATTCATCGCAATATATATAAACATGTACAAGATAAATATGTCAAGAATATTAAGCTAATATCACAACTTAACTTAATTCTATATTTTGCCAACTAATAATATCCTAAGCAAACCAAATCAAATCATCATCATATATTAAATCTTCATCGTATATCCGTAACACCCTCCCAGAAGTTGGAGCATGGTGAGAATCAAGAATGCCCAACTTGGACAATAGAAAATTAAACTGTCGTTTGCCAAGCGCCTATATAAAAATGTCTAAAATGGAACAATAATACCCTCCGTAATCGCATCGCGCACAAATTGATAGTCTACTTCGATGTGCTTAGTCCTTCCATGAAACACTGGATTTTTAGCAATATTTACAGCGTACTGACTATCACAAAAAAATGGAATAGCCATTGGATGTTGTACACCCAAACTCAATAGCAAACCTTTCAACCATTTTAGCTCACAAGTTATGGCTGCCATAGAATGGTACTCTGCCTCTACTGATGATGTCGAAACCGTAGGTTGCTTCTTTGTCTTCCAAGATACTAGAAATTGGCCTGTAAACACCAACCAACCAGTCAATGATCTCCGAGTAATTAGACAAGCCGCCCAATCTGAATCACACCATCCTTGTAGCGTCAAATCATTATCTGCCCGTAGCAAAATCCCTTGCCCGAGTGTACCTTTCAAGTATCAAACCACACGTAAGGCAGCATCCCAATGCTCCATTCGAGGTGCCTGCATGAACTGCGACAATATGTGCACTAAATAAGCTAGGTTTGGTCATGTCACAGCAAGATAGAACCAACTGTCCAATAAGATGGCGATATGCTTCCGGATCTGCAAGTAAATCACCATTCGCATGACCCAATCTGTGATTTTGCTCTATTGGAAAGCCACTAGGCTTTGCACCTGTCAAGCCAACCTCAGAAATAATGTCTAGTGTATATTTACGCTGACACAAAAATAATCTCGTCGCACTTCGTGCTACCTCAATGCCAAGAAAATATTTCAGGGGCCCTAGATCTTTCATTTTAAAATAGTCACCCAAATAAGATTTAAAAGCTAATAACGCATCGGAATCATTGCCATAAATGATCAAATCATCAACATATACTAAAACATTAATCTCAACACACCCCTTAGTGAATGTGAATAAAGAATAATCAGAGTAGGATTGAAGAAACCCATACCCTTTTAGAGCAGTAACAAGCTTAGCAAACCAACAAAACGGAGCTTGCTTCAAACCATATAGTGACTTCTGCAATCTGCAAACCAATTTTGGATTAGATTTTTCAAACCCAGGGGCAATTTCATGTACACTTCTTCTTCAAGATCACCATGTAAGAAAGCATTGTGCACATCCATCTGATGAAGTTCCCAATTCTTCGAGGAAGCAATAACTAGGAAAGCTCGGATAGTTGTCATCTTTGCAACCGAAGCAAAAGTCTCTTTATAATCAATGCCCTCCGTTTGATGGTTGTCAACGATCACCAATCTCGACTTCAATCGTTCTATATCACCATTTGACAAGTATTTGGTCTTATAGACCCATTGACTACCAAGAGCACGTTTCCCGGGTGGCAACTCC